AATAATTTTATTTAGATACTATCACCTCAGGTCGTTAGGATACCCACCAAACCCAGTTGTTGTCTAGTAACACAGGTAATAATTTTATTTAGATACTATCACCTCAGGTCGTTAGGATACCCACCAAACCCAGTTGTTGTCTAGTAACACAGGTAATAATTTTATTTAGATACTATCACCTCAGGTCGTTAGGATACCCACCCAACCCAGTTGTTGTCTAGTAACACAGGTAATAATTTTATTTAGATACTATCACCTCAGGTCGTTAGGATACCCACCCAACCCAGTTGTTGTCTAGTAACACAGGTAATAATTTTACTTAGATACTATCACCTCAGGTCGTTATGATACCCACCAAACCCAGTTGTTGTCTAGTAACACAAGTAATAATTTTACTTAGATACTCTCACCTCAGGTCGTTATGATACCCACCAAACCCAGTTGTTGTCTAGTAACACAAGTAATAATTTTACTTAGATACTCTCACCTCAGGTCGTTAGGATACCCACCCAACCCAGTTGTTGTCTAGTAACACAGGTAATAATTTTATTTAGATACTATCACCTCAGGTCGTGGTTACAATATCATAGTTAAAGATAAGTAACTGGTTTGTTTTGTTGTGAACTACACAAGGGCTATCTGTGCTAGCCGTCCATAATTGTGCAGTGAAAGACTAGAGGGAAGGTAGCTACTCATCACCACCCACCGTCAACTCTTGGGCTACTCTTTTAACAATGAATAGTGGGATTGACTGTAACATTATAACGCCCCCCCCCCAGCTGATAGGGAGGACATATTTGGTAGTATGAGGATTCGAACCTCCGACCATCAGATTGTGAGTCAAGCAGCCTAACCATCTGACTATGCTGAGCCATAAGTAACTGACCATAGGAAACACTGACCAGAATTGTCACGAGGTCTCTAAAAATAAGTAACTGACCATAGGAAACACTGACCAGAATTGTCACGAGGTCTCTAAAAATAAGTAACTGACCATAGGAAATAATGACCAGAATTATCATAAGGTCCCTAATGATAAATAATTGATCATAATAAGCAATGATAACAGTTGTCACAAGGTTTCTAATGATAAGTAACTGGTCATAGGATACAATGACCGAAATTGTCACGAGGTTTCTAATGATATGTAACTGGTCATAGGTTACACTGACCAGAATTGTCACAAGGTTTCTAATTATCTGTAAATGGCCATAGGTTACACTGGCCAGAATTATCACAAGGTTTCTAATTATATATAAATGGTCATAGGTTACACTGACCAGAATTGTCACGAGGTTTCTAATAATATGTAAATGGCCATAGGTTACACTGACCAGAATTGTCACAAGGTTTCTAATAATATGTAAATGGTCATAGGTTACACTGACCAGAATTGTCACAAGGTTTCTAATAATATGTAAATGATCATAGGATACACTGACCAGAATTGTCACAAGGTTTCTAATTATATGTAAATGGTCATAGGTTACACTGGCCAGAATTATCACAAGGTTTCTAATGATAAGCAACTGGTCATAGGAGACACTAACCAGAATTATCACAAGGTTTCTAATAATATGTAAATGGTCCTAGGTTACACTGACCAGAATTATCACAAGGTTTCTAATGATAAGCAACTGGTCATAGGTTACACTGACCAGAATTGTCACAAGGTTTCTAATTATATGTAAATGATCATAGGTTACACTGACCAGAATTGTCACAAAGTTTCTAATGATAAGCAACTGGTCATAGGATACACTGACCAGAATTGTCACAAGGTTTCTAATTATATGTAAATGATCATAGGTTACACTGACCAGAATTGTCACAAAGTTTCTAATGATAAGTAACTGGTCATAGGTTACACTGACCAGAATTGTCACGAGGTTTCTAATAATATGTAAATGGTCATAGGTTACACTGACCAGAATTGTCACAAGGTTTCTAATGATATGTAACTGACCATATATATCTTCAATGGGACTTTTAATTACAAATCTGCACGTTATGTTTTTCTGCACAGATGTTAAAAGTTGTCAACAAAACGATTTCAAGAAAGAAATACAACTGCTTCTCACTAATGAAACTTAACTCGGTTATTTGGCTGCTAAATCTTGATTCGTGGAGTCATTTATAAAGATCAAATATACTTGAAGTATGATGATTAACTTTTCATAACTATGACAGAAACTTGTAGCTTCTTTCCTTTTCCAGTCATAGCAACATGGGCTGTCGAGGCAGAAATTGTGAGGAGCAGCGGAGAGTCAGCTGCCTGGTTAGTACGGGTAAGGTTGTTCTTAATAACTCTTCCAAATTTAACTGTTAACGTAAATTTCATGTAAAGCTCTTATATAAATGTGGATATATTTCACGTAAAGCTCTTACATAAATGTAGACAAGTTTCGTGTAAGACTCTTACATAAATATAGACAAGTTTCGTGTAAGACTCTTACATAAATGTGGACATATTTCAAGTAAAGCTCTTACATATTTCATCTAAACTTTTACATAAATGTGGACATATTTCAAGTAAAGCTCTTACATAAATGTAGACAAGTTTCGTGTAAAGCTCTTACATAAATGTGGACATATTTCACGTAAAGCTCTTACATAAATGTGGACAAGTTTCGTGTAAGACTTACATAAATGTGGACATATTTCATGTAAAGCTCTTACATAAATGTAGACAAGTTTCGTGTAAGACTTACATAAATGTGGACATATTTCATGTAAAGCTCTTACGTAAATACGGACATATTTCACGTAAAGCTCTTACATAAATGTAGACAAGTTACGTGTAAAGCTCTTACATAAATGTAGACAAGTTACGTGTAAGACTCTTACATAAATATAGACAAGTTTCGTGTAAAGCTCTTACATAAATGTAGACAAGTTACGTGTAAAGCTCTTACATAAATGTAGACAAGTTACGTGTAAGACTCTTACATAAATATAGACAAGTTTCGTGTAAAGCTCTTACATAAATGTAGACAAGTTACGTGTAAAGCTCTTACATAAATGTAGACAAGTTACGTGTAAGACTCTTACATAAATGTGGACAAGTTTCGTGTAAAGCTGTTACATAAATATGAATAGATTTGTATATAGATAGTTTTTACTTGAAATGGATATCAAGGTAATTGTATCAATACATAGAAGAAAACAATAAACGCTGTAGGTATATCACGATAAACGTAGAGATGTCTAACTCACGGCTGTGTTTGTTATTATAGGACAGTGGTGGAACATATAAAATCAGCGAAAAGCTTGAAGACCGCTTCGATCCGGGGTTTAAGCCCGCATCCATTGTAACCGTTACGGTGCCCGGTAAACCGAAAGACGGGTTGTTTACAGGAAATGCTGGATTTTCAACCTCTGAAAACAAAGATGACTTATATTTTGTGCATTTCGTTGTCGGTAATGAAGACAAGACAAAGCCAGCAGACTATCCAATCAAACAGGAGAACGAAGAAGCAGAATTTGGCAAAAAAGAAGCGAACGTAGCTATTTTGCTCTCGAAGATTATAGCAGCTTCAAGAAAAGCTAGCAACGGTGCCCCACAGTTTGTAGTATTTGCACAACCGTCTCCCAAAGACAAGCGAAAGAAAAAATTCGAAACATCCAAGGCTGAGAGCTCTAGGGATAGTGATGATGATGATGATACTCTCCTGTCGGAGGAGGTACCTTTGAAAACAATAAAAACGGATCTACTAGAGGGTCCGGTCTTCCATAAAAGCTTCAAACCGCCAAAATTCACTTCCCGACAACATCAGAAATCCTCTCAGAGTCTAGGTCCGGACAGATCGGGTGAACAACTCTTAGTCTCTGGTGTTAACAACTATTATCCCTCTAGTGACGATACCGGTTTTCAACAAAGTGGTTCTAGCGAGAGTGGAAGTGTAATTCCGTATTCCGGATCCGCTCCTTCTCCAACTGTACCCAACTATCCGCATCCACCCCCTGCCTACAGTAACAGGGAAGTTTACGGTCAACAGCCACCACCTTACTACCCCCCACCTCCAGAAAAATCGTACGATAGTAACCGATGGGGAAGCAGTGGGGGTTATGAGGGCTACAGTAGCAGTGGAGACTACGGTTATGGTGGAGGATACAGTAGCTACGGAGGAGGACATCCTCCAAATAAAGGAATCAGTATCCAGTTGAATGGCGGTGGAGGAGGGCACAATGCGCTGGCATCTTTAGCTAGCCTCTTGTTGCCGAGCCTTGGCAAGCCGAAGGTTAATCTCAATGGAAGAGTGGTATTTGGAGTTGTTCTGGATAAAGGAATCGGCCTTGGTGGTGGTGGTGGTTATAGCGGCTGAAGTAGGCCTTTATCAAAATAATGTACACTGAGCAGTGAACATAGTTTGCCCAGGAGGCAAGACTTGTTTCCATGGTGACTGATTTAAAGACTGTTTTTGTCCGTTTTTTTCATCTTCAGGTATTAGTGCTAAACAGGCATTAACACTAGTAGTAATGTTTATGTTAAATATAGTAAGAAGTCTTATAGTGAATGTTTTTTTTTTATATTTCTACTTACTGGCTGCAGAATGAAAAGGAGATCGCATTTCTTTGCTATTAACACAAGCCTAAATTAATCTAAATCAAAACAAATACCTTTCTCTCTATTAACTAGGACTTGAATACCAGATGCTTTATCAGCTGAAAAATATATGTTCGAAATTCATACTTCTACATTACTACTTAAAGTGACGAAATCATAGTTAAAGAATTTGTGATGGACGTAGTGGTGAATGTAATGTTTCATGTTATCCTTCAGTAACGAATGTTACATGTGATGAACGTAGTGGTGAATGTATTGTTTCATGTTATCCTTCAGTAACGAATGTTACATGTGATGAACGTAGTGGTGAATGTATTGTTTCATGTTATCCTTCAGTAACGAATGTTACATGTGATGAACGTAGTGGTGAATGTATTGTTTCATGTTATCCTTCAGCAACGAATGTTACATGTGATGAACGTAGTGGTGAATGTATTGTTTCATGTTATCCTTCAGCAACGAGTGTTACACGAACGTAGTGGTGAATGTATTATTTCATGTTATCCTTCAGCAACGAATGTTACATGTGATGAACGTAGTGGTGAATGTATTGTTTCTGGATTAATGTTTTTATTAAAAGAGATAATAATTGTAATTTTTGAGAACCATGAACGAAGTTTCTCTTCGGAAGTCTTTTGTTTGGAGCTAGTTGAAAAAAAAACTCTCGAGGGCTTAAGAATCAATGGCAGGATGAGTTCTAAAGATCCCCCTCAGAGGAAATCGATCGCAAACTTTGGGGCTGGTTCCTAGAATTTTTTGACGGTAATTTAAGACAGTGTGTGTGGTATAGAACGAGAGATGGACAAAATTTTCTGCCTAGACCCAGGAGACAAGAACGACAAGGGTTGGGTTAAAAGCAAAGAAATACAAATCTATTGAACTCGTTTTTGGATTTATAATGTCACACACAGCTGTAAAGTCTCTCTGATTTATTTTAATTTTTATTGTATGATGTTTTGTATAAAAGATATTAAAATATCTATTTTTCCCAACTTTATTCCACTTTATTTTGATGCACAAGAAAGCTCAATCCGCACCTGGACACCAGAGGTCGTAGTCGTTTACTTTTCGTCCACATACAAAAACTGTTACTATATTACTACAATTTTTATTTCTGTGATTTGGTCCTAAGTTTTACTCCAGTGGTTATATCTATCAGCTGGTAGAAAATACTTACCAACATAGCCTCTGACCAACAGAGTAGACAATACTTACCAACATAGCCTCTGACCAACAGAATGGACAACATTGACCAACATAGCTTCTGACCAGCAGAGTAGACAACACTTACCAACATAGCCCCTAATCAACAGAGTAGACAACACTTACCAACATAGCCCCTAATCAACAGAGAAGACAATACTTAC